TACATTACCTTTTTTATCTTTCTTAGTTATAATTGGGGAAGTGTAAATGTTTGTTAACCTTGGTTATTTCTATATCTACAATAAATGCTGATATATAACGTTCATTTGTTGGTTCTAATTGTTGTTCTAACATTAAGTTGTTTAATATAGTTTTATTACATGATTCTTGTGGGATTACTATAGGTTTTCCAGTTGCGAGTTTTAGCCTATGTATAGCACTAAGATATAATGAACATGCGTCATAATCATATAAATCTTTAGTAACACGTTGTTTAGTATTATCTCTACACATATTTCTACCTCCATATACTGCACCCTGTATAAATTCTCTAACTTTCCCAGAATATTGCATTAAGTTTGGAATTTGTGTGTAAACATGTAATTTGAAATAGTGATTAGCTAAAGCAGATATACTAATAAAGTTGTCAACATATATATTTAAACTTTTCAAATTATTATTTCGGAATTTAATTTGACTTTATTTAAATATTCTAACGTCTTGACAACAATAGAACTTACAATAAAATCTCATATCGAACTTGTCGTCATCCACTAAACAATTATTGATTTTATATATATTCTCTTTAAATAAATTATATTGATCTTTATTCCATTTTTTAGATTCATATTCACCAGCTTCTGAAATTATTCCAACGTTATTTTGAATTCGTTCTATGGTGAAGTAATTATAAGGATATAATTCTTTTTGAATATTAGACAAATCAAACATTTTAGGAAAATCTGATAACTAATTTGAAATCATTGAATAACTATCTTTAAATATCAAGAGCTTTCCGTTATAATTTGATGTCATTTTCATGGTTTTACCATTTTTTAATACATGTCTCAATTCTATATTTTGCTAAAAAACACGAATCATATTTCAAATTATGAAAGTAAACAACAGAATTATTAACTAAATCAGATAAGAAGTCTTCTACACATTCATTTCCATATTTACATGAAATTTGATATGAATTTTGTTTAGAATAAGCAACACAATATGCTTTATGAATTCCTTGTGTGCTAGCTTCGAAATCTGCATAATAGTAAATATAATTTTTGGACTTAGATTTTTTATTTCGTTCCATAGTTTTTTCCATTGTTATTGGTTTAACTTCGAAATCTAAATAATCTAATAATTCGATTGATTGTTTAACATAATCAGATGGTAAATGAAGAACGTCACTAAGTGAATATAGTTTAAAACCATTATTATCTTTAATATATAAAATAAGTTCTGATAATTTTATAGTAGATTTAGCTCCTGGTTTAGTTAAATATGAATTTCCTTTCTTTCTATGTTTATTAAACATAAATTCAATTGGTTTGTTGTGTTCTAATGCCCATTCATTTCCACTTTATTCTTAAGATAAAATGGAGTAATTGGTAAATCAACATCTAAGAAATAATGATCACCTTTATATTTGAATCTTCAAATAAATACATACTAATTTCAGTAGCTTCTTCTTCATCTGATCCTATATATTTCATTATTGTATTAGCATGATCTTTACGCTCTAATTCTTCACGTTTTATTTGAATTTC